TGGGGATGAATAATTAAGAAAACAAAAAAAATGAACCGGACCCGGCCCGGGCCGGTTACGGGCCTACCCCCAAACCCCTAAAGCCCAACCGGGCCTAGGCCCGGCTCGGGTCCATGCATACTCTTATCATGTTTTGTTTTCATTGTATTATAAAAATCATATCATGTAAATAGAGTGAAAATGGTCTTAATGTATATTTCCAACATACTACGTATCATTTTTCATAATTTATAGTAATAGAAATATATTAATGTTCAGAATAGTAGTGCGCAATAAATTGAAACATGGTGCAATTAAAAAAGAATGGAAGAAGTACAACATCATAGACTCATCGTACTAAACCAAATTCTGGGTTGATCTCCATGGATTGATTATAATTTAGAGATGATTATCGTACCAACATAACATGCCATTCCACCCCCATGAAATGCTTATCAATAACCACTAATTAATTATAGGTTATACAGGAGGAAATATGTTAATGATAGGATACATTGTGCATTATAATCTTAATATGTATTGGAATTATGCATTTAAATTCAGTTCAAAGCTTATGCCTTAACATGTGATCCTTCTTAACCACTGTTTCCAAGCAGGCCGAATTGCACAAATACTCTATAAGCTCTTTCTCTACTCAAGGTATTTTCTTGTAGTACAAACATGATTTATAAGGTGCTACATATGATGCATATTCTGTATATCTAGTTGACTGATATTATAAAATAGTTTTGCTTCTCAGAGCTTGATTAGTATTGTAGTAGCTAGGCTGGGGCTTGAATCATGTCTATACAACTTCCTTTATAGTCTCCACATTGCTCATATATGAATTATGAACCCTTCTTTTGAAGTGTGATTTGAATAGACATTCCAAAATCTGAATTATGAACCCTTCTTTTGAAGTGTGATTTGAATAGACATTCCAAAATAGTTCGACACCGTTCTTTAGTGATATGAGCAGCCATTTCTAAACAGTCCGACACTGTTCTTTAGGTCTCGGAAGAAAATGTGAAGTTTTCATTTAAATGGTTCTGATTTGCCAAGACATAAAAACAACAGGGAAAAAAGTTCCAAGCTAGGTTTTTAACATGGATGCAAATCTTGACTTCTGTCTTTCAAGGGATGGTTTACAAATGAAAACTACTGAAAGTAAAGCTAGATGAGAACATTGCAATAAAAGAAGAAGAAACAATTCTTTGTTAGGATGTATCACTTATGTTGCATGTGAAAGCAACAATTCCTTGAACCATAGCTGTCTGTACCACTTAGTGTCCAAGTTCTAATGTATCATCCTGATCTGTGCTATTTTTATTTGTGTCCATCTGTATTCTTGACTGTTGTGATTGCCTCTAAAGAATGAAGGTACAACCATGGTTCAAGACTTCAAGCATGCCTATTTTTTTTTTGTTTCTTTTTTCCTTTTATGTTCCAACACTCAGCTTTAATCTTAATTCTTTAAACACACTAAATTACTCTTTGGAAATAAATCCTAGATGGAGTCATGGAGTCCATGTCTAATGTATGTTCAATTAAAACATTGAATACACGTGGAATCAAGGAGGGTTCGCATTTACTTCTACTTTTTTAGATGCCATTAATTAGAGTATATGTAAAGTTTCTACTTTTTTAGATGCCATTAATTAGAGTATATGTAAAGTGACTAATAGTAAAAATTAATAATAATGTTCGAAAAGTAATGTGATTTTGAAATAATAAAAATTGAAGTGTTGGTGAGAGGCAATATAAATCACCCATCCACGTACTCCCACCTTTTTGAGCAACGTATAAAATACCGTTATTCTTGTGAGTTAATAGCTTATTCAGTCTCGTTAATGACTCTTCAAATATGACATTTTTTATAAGGTAGCTAGAATTTTTGTTTTAAATCCCTAGTGTAGGTTACACTATTTCAGTCCCTATTACGGAGTATTATTTATGTTACAAAAAAACAACTTTGGCTTATACTCACGTAAATAGGTAAATCTTTGTGACAGACGGATTGGCCTATTCAGTAATTCAGTTTAGCCTTGCAGCAAAAAGGATGGTTAAAATGAGAAAGGGAGAAGTTTTTTTGCACCGAGGCCCGAGCTATGGACAAAAAAGGGTCATAAAGGACACCTGCAAGGCTGCAAGTGTGTGAATTCATATAGACATATAGCACTCTGTATAATCTAATAAAATGAAGTGTCCTCGTCTACAAAATTGTTTACAACCTAGCAAGTTTGGCAGGCTCACATCGATACATAAAACAAGAAATGGATTTCAAAATCCATTAAAATTACTGCTTAGATTTAAAGCTTGTGCGAACATACTGATCATATTCCCTGGCGATAGCATCTTCAGTTGAAAGATTCCACATCTGCGTATTCATTATTTATAAGTGGATTGTTGATACGCTCAACAGAAAATCATTACCTAATACTCCGTATATCATAGTGCAAGTCAAGGAAATGGAGAACAGGGGAACAGACAAATGAAACATGAAAACGGAACATAGTACTCCAAATTAATACCCACCTCAAGCTTTCCTTTAGAGCCGCCTATAGCTAGCAAGAACGGGCAGTCATCTGAGAAGGAAATAGAAAATACAGCCCCCTGGCAAAAGCAAAGTGGTGGTTGGTCATGTTTCCGTCCGAAAAAAAGTGGCTAAATAGTTTTACCTTCACATGAAGGTAGTTAAGGTACAACTAATTCTTTCTTCAAATAAAAACAATAACACATGCACATACCGCTTTGGGATTCCTCGTGGCAAGACATGAAGGTTGATTGTTGGACAAATCCCATAATTTTACCTGCAGTTGGTTGGTCTCCATCAGAATCTTACCAGAAACAGTTAGAGATATAGAGCTAATTAGGGAGACAGGAGAAGAGTTGAATACCGTTTTATCTAGGGAGCCTGTTGCAATAAGCTACCAATATATAAATAAACAAGTAAAATTAGATCACTTCAGAAGCTAATGGAGTAATTAGGCATTTACACATCCATGACCCATCTAAAAGAAATAAAATGTTGTACATACATTTGGCACCAATGGGTTAAAAGAAATGGAGCAAACTGCTTTGTCATGAGCATGAAGGGTGAAATTTGGTTTCATCTTTGATGTAGAATTGGGATCAGCAGCCATCCGAATATCAAAACTAGTTATGGTTCCATTTTCCATACTCACCTGAAATAAATAATTTAATTTAAATAAAAAAAGAATAAAACCCCGGTCAGAACTAATATTATTTATGAGAAAGATTACTGGAAGTCTGGAACTAACCAGAAACGAATGCTCGGCATGGGGGTCCCATTTCAAGCTCTCAACTTGGTCAGCCACTGAAAACTTAAATCCATCATGAGATGGTTGCCTTACATCCTTCTGCAACATGCATTATATCTCTTTCACAATGAAGGAAATTTGAAAATAAATGATTTTTTTTATCTAGCTATGGAGTGAAATGGGAATTAAAGAATATAACATTCTCAGAGGCAAATGCCAAATACCAACCAAGACAACAGAACGATCAAATGATCCGGAAAGAAGAATTTGGGGCTTAAATGGATTCCACGCAACTGCTTGCACCTGCAGAAACAACACATAGGTAATCAGAGAAAGAAAAATGTCATGCTTATATATTTGTAAGCTAACAAGTATAAATTTAATGTCCTTTGCCTTGTCATCATGGACTTTCATAGTGAGATTACATGTTTCTGTTGACACATCCCAAATCTTGACTGATTTGTCAGCACTAGCACTAGCTATAACATTTCTGCATAAAATGACAACAGGAACAATAAAAATAAAACATTTTTCAGGTAAATGATTGGTAACTATGATAAGTAACATATAAAACTCTTCTAATACCTATACTCCTTGTTCCAAGCAAGGCCAAGTACTGAATCTTTGTGGCTGCCCTTTTTGTATTTGATAGATTTCTGAAATAAAAAAACATGTCAACTTTGTAAGAGGCTTTATCATCAGCTCAACATAAATGGATAGAACCTAATGACACATACTCTAATCTGTCTACAGAACCTGCCAACTACACATCCAACAACCAAACCAACCCTAAAAACTTCTGTTCGGATTTGGATTTACCATTTACCGAACTTAAACTGTTAGCCGCTAGAACTTAAGGGGTGAGCCAAAGTAAGGTTTTCACTGTGCCAGATGAAAGTATGAAACAATGTTATCAAAATTATCCCTTCATCCCAATAATTTCTTACCAGTTTGATTTGGCATGTTTATTAGTAAAGTAAATTTGCACGGTTGCTGTTACTGTAAAAAGGAATGGAAGAATAACAACATGAAAAGGAAATGGGAAGAAACTTTTGGGATGGAGGAAGCGTATCACTAAAGAAATATAATTTACTGAGGTAATACATTGCACAAAGTTAGTGTGCCATAACCCACCTTTTTTCTGTGTTTCACTCTTTCAGCAAAAAAAAAAGTAAAAAGGAATACACTTACTCCAGTACTCCACTTAAACTTTTAGGTCTGCAATGTCGGATCTTTGACAATGACTTTGACAATTACGGAGTATTATTTATAATTATATATAAATGAAACCCATAGTAAATAATTATTGCAATAATGCACATTAAAAATTGTTTGATACTTCATAGTACTTTCATGTTATAAGTTTAAAAAAACTAATTAAGTGTCAATGTTAACGAACTTTTACTTCAAAAGTAAAGGAGGAAGAGTTGTGAGTGGGATGAAGGGAGTAGAATCAGTAGATATGTAAATAAAATAAATTCTAAATAAATTAATTAAATTATTAGAAAAAATAAGTCTAGCTGATGCTCATCAATCTAAAAAGGTATAACTGCATTTATCATCAGTGATAAGGTTAGGGTAGCTAGAGTGCTAGACACATAGGTCAGGAGATGATTATGAAAAACTAAATGAGAAATAGTGCGTGCACAAAATATGCGATAAATGGCAGAAAAGAACCCTAATAGTTGTTGAATAGTCGTAAATAAATGTGATGGAGAAATTAATTCATATGGGAAGCACCTTTTTCCCCTTCTTTTTTGCAGAAACGCCTCCTAAGACAACAGATGGTAGAACTTCATCTATCTATTCACAAAGACAATGAAGAAAGAATGATGATAATAATAATAGTAATATATGCACACAAAAATGTGTACAGAAAATCCCTCAAAAAACATACAATGTCAAGGTCCCAAATTTCAATGGCTGGTTCCATGGAGCCCACAGCCATAAAGTTGCCTACAATCACACAAAAGACATGATGCTTACATTCAATTATACAGGTTTTTTAGAGGGGTGGGGTATAATAAAAATTATAGGTTTTTAACCCATACGCTATAGTATCAAACCTTTCTCCCCTCCTTTAAGAGGGCAATCAAGCCACGCTGTACACAGAGGGAATGCTGGAATTATGATATCATGGTGAACATACATGTTCAATTCATTATCTGTAGAATCCTCCAATATCCATATCTGTTTGAAGAATTCAATATTAAAAATCATCGATAATCAGATTAAAAACGTGACAAATACATGAAAAAGATTTATCATTCTCAAAATAACCATTACATGCCTCAAGGTGACTGACATCATCTTCATTACGCGCACAAACAATAACGGCATCATCTGGTTTTATAGCAGTGTCCTCTTCCTCCTCAGAGTCATAGTCCTAATATTTAAATTGGAATATGCTAGTTGTTAGTCGAGGCAGCAAAGCAGATCAAGGAGTTTGAAGCATGTATTAGAACTCAATTAAACAACATACATCCTTATCTTTAAGATACGGGTCTAAGTTGTTACTTGGATAATACAAGTCCTTAAGTCCTGGACCAAAGATTTCGGCACCTAAAAAGCAATGAAGAAAATGGTACAAGAAAGTGAGGCAAATCACAATTCAGAAAGAAATTTCCCTGTGAAAAGCTTAAAAAATGAAAATCACATTCTGAATGAGTTATATAGTCACAAAAATGATATAAAACGCACACACACATGTCTGTATGTGAGCCAGTGCAGTCAGAGATACCTTCTTCCTCATCATCATAATTTTCCATGTCCAATTCCTTCATAGCTTCAGTTATATTAGCAGCACTGGCTTTTGGGTCGTCATTTTCTTCTTCATTTTTGTCATATCCAGATGCACCAATGCTCATTTCTTCATCAGTGTCTTCTTCATTGTCTTCTCCATTTTCAGCTTCATCGCTGATGTATTTTAGAAAGATCATTTATGGATAAAGAAAAACAGAAAGAGGGCACAAAAAGAAACAGCCAAATTTGAATAGCTTTTGTAACTTTATCTCATCAATAACACATCTGTAACTTGATTTCTTCTACATGTGCACTGTTTCTGACAAGCGCATGAATTCTGAACATGGTTGTTGGAAAACATGAAATACAACCATCAAAATCTATTGTACTTTAACTATAGTACTATACGCATTAATCAGGAAAAAAAACTTAGCAGGTTCTTCAAAGAATCACAGCTTTGAACTGCCACAAGCCAATACACTTAGATAGTTAGATGAGAGACCTTTAACACTTGGCATTTAACGCAAATGTTTTCATCTCTTATCCTACTCACCGCAATCATTATATCAACTTTTCAAATTTAAATGAAACCCAGACATTTTTAAAATGGTCAACACAAATCACTCTTAATCTTTTATTTTATATATCAAATTTTTATCAAATATGATTCTGGTTTTTGTAGTTTCTGAATATGTAACTTTTTTTTCCTAAACATAACTTCAGTGCGGACAGGGATTTGTTTGCTTTATCGTCGATCAAGCATCGTAAACCAAATTGATCCAAACATAGTGGGACGGAGGGAACCTTATAAAAACAGACTTTAATAAATTACTCTTTTAGAATTTAAATACTTCAGGATAGTTCAGATGTTCAAATAAATAAAATCAGCAAATCACATTTAGGAATAAAGAAGAGTATACTGATTACCCTTTTGGAATAATGCCACTCTTGAGAATCTCTTCAATTTCCTCTTTCGAAGGAGGCTCAGCTGCAGCTGGGACTGACTTAGCAGCCCCTTTAGGAATCCACGAAATAGCTGCTATCATATCTAGATATCTTCTACACTAACAAGCCAAATAGAAAAGAACCCTATATCAGAACATATACACAGAGATGAAAATCTATATATCTATCTACAGTAATGCAATTTGCATTACAAATTCTCCTGCCAAAACTGACTGAAGAGGGAGTAAACTCCCTCTTCAGTCAATTTGCTCGAGAGTCCTCAATTTTTTTGTCAAAATATCTATCAGATTTTTATAACTTGTGTTAGATTGTAGTCACTTTTTGCTTTAAATAACTGAGAAGTGGGAGGTGTTCTGAGAATGGCAAGAGACTAACTACACATAGCTATTTAGTTGCTTCCAAAAACATAATTTAAGCTTTTCAAAATCCATCCTATTTTCTCTACCAAATAATTGAGAGATGAAAATAGATCAAACTTTCACTCTATAAATTGAACTTAAAATGTTCACTTTTTTCAAGCCAACAACTCTGTATTCCACCAGCAATAAAATATTCTTTTCCTATGCAATCTATCATCATCATCATCATCATCATCATCATTACATAAAAGCAAAACGTTTTGTGAACAGTTTTCCCACCCAAACATCCTCACTGTATAGAGTAGCATGCGAATCCACCAAATCAAAGCCTCAAAAGTAGAAATGTTGAACAGAACATTGTATACTAACTAAAAACAATATCAGCTACAATGGAGAATTTTATTACACAGAATTAAAATAAAAAACAAAGACAACATGCGCAGTAGAAACATTGATGAAAGTTAATCAACGAACAGACTATAAACAACCCCAATCAAGTCCCAACAGTCTGCTTCTTGGAGAATGTGTACAAAATAAACATAAAATATAATTTAATTTGTAAAAAATACAGCTCATCAAATCTAGCAAGCATATTGATTGGGACGGGTGTATTTTCAGACAATAAAATCTCGGGAAGCGGTTCATTGGGACAAGTGTATGTTTAGCCGATCAATTCTCGCAAACCTGTTCTGGACATGTGCATTTTCGTTATAAAAAGATCATTCATTTTTCTATAACTACTACTACTACCCAGCAAACACTTTCCGAATGAATACAAATCAATCCTTCTACCTCTTCTCATCCTCTTTTTCATTCTCAGTCTGCAATATGAAAAATATCATCTTATGTGTGAATGATGTGTAAACCTATTATTTTATTAGCTTATAGCCTTATACAAACAAAAAAAAGTAACTTTTCTATACTGAATGATTTTAGATGTTTCATGTTAAGGATAAAGAACTACTTTTGATTGAATGTTAAAGAAATGGTTAAGCTAACTAATCCACAGCTAAGAGAAGCTCTGTTTCTGTCTCTGTGAGGGTGAAAATTAATTAGCTGTATAGTTAAAATTTGTATTTAATGTTTAGCAACAAGTAATGCTTAAATACAAATTTTAACTTATACATGTATTAAACAATCTTGATTCATGGTTGGTTTTTGTTTCGCTGAGAAGGCATGTATATAGAAAGGTTCAGAGATAAAATATTTTGATAACAGTCTTGAAGAGGGCATGTTTTGAGAAATAGAATACAAAATTAACATTACAAAAGTTAGTTTTAGTGGGCTGAATTTTCAAAAAAGATTACAGCAAGAGTTTAGTACTATTTCTACTTAGAGTTAGTCCATGTGTGTGTACAGTAAGGAATTGATTAGATAGGTTTGCTCCGTAATTATAGAAACATCACTCCACATACAGTATTTATGTTAATTTTTTCAATAGTTATGGTAAAATTGTTAATTTAATTGAAATGAATTTATAGTGAGAATAGGATGCAAAGAATAACAGTATGTTTGATTTAGGGTGATATAAAAATTTAAAAACTGGCATATATTTGTTTGAGTGAGATGAGGATCGAAAAACATTACACATAGGGGGTTCAATACTGGTTTGATTTAAACATTGAGTCATATTAGTTAGTTACAACTGCTCTTAAGTGCAGGAAAACCAGTTTTAATAATAAGGAAAAACATTTAGTCTACATTTGTAGAGCAAGAACGGAATGTTAAGGAATAACAATCTATTTGAGTATCGAGGTGAAGTCAAACACAGTAAAGGTCCAGCAGACTGATAATTACCCAAAGTTGTTACTTAGAGAAATTAAAAGCGAGTGAATAAACAATCTTTTAATCTAACAATTTTCATACAGGTTAGGACAAAGAAGAAACAAATTTTCTTACAAAAAATAAAATTTAACTTTAGGATAGATTGGAATGAAACATAAACATGCAGTTAACGAATAAAGTCATATGAAAACCTACCAATTTGGAGACTTCTCTACTGGACCGATGGAAGGAAGCGGGTATAAACCTCTGCCGGAGTGGGATCGGAGGAGGGTAGCGATAGACTATTGGTCGCTGCGTGCTACTGTGCTAGGTTGGGATTTGGTCACTGAACGATGAGGACTACTGCTACCTCTTCCTTGGGCCCTGTAGTCGTGGAAGATTTTCAGATTTTGGGCCATGGTCTAACAGACTAACACTGCTCCATATTAACATTTTTTTTAAATGAGAGTGGGCCTAGTATTTATACATATATACTGGTTGAAAAAATAAAACATTCGAAGATGGGCCTGGGCCTTCCCTGGCCCTCGGCCCAACCCGCCCCTGCCAATAGAAGATGGAAGGAATTGATATCGGTGATATCACAAGTGGCGGCACGGCCGATTTATAGGTTATATTGGTTTGGAAAAAGGGTCAAATACATTTTTCTATATTTGGAAAATGATCACATAAGCTCATGTACTTTAAAAAGCATTATATAAACTCATCTACTATAAAAATTAGTCAATTAAGCCAAAATACCAAAAGTTAACCTGCAATTGAAGGTCATCCCCACATTTTCTCTCTCCTAATTATTATTATTTATTTTTCTTTTCTTTTGTATTGTCTGCTTACAATCTGCTATCCACGGCCTGCTTACTGAGAAGTAGACTAACGGCCACCCACAATCTGTCTCCTTACCCAATTTTTGGTAGAAAAAATTACACACCCACGGGGGATTCAAGCCCCAGACCAACGGTTGAGGAATGTAAGAGGCAACCCCACTCAACTACTTGTCTGTTTGTTCAATACGTTATCTCCCCGTGTATTTATAGTTTAACGCATTACATTTTTTTAATACAAATAAATTTGTAAATATAATACTCCATTCTGTATTTAAAAGTTTACTACATTTTCCTTTTTTGGTAAGTTTTTCCTTTAAAAATACTTAATTAATCTCACCTTTTCTACTTGTTATATTCTCTTTTCTATTTTTCCACATTGGGTTGGTTTACATGTTGGGTTATTTCCGGGTTTCTAATGGAAAATTTTTAGTACATGATTTGTACACAAAAAACCCCTAATTGTCTGTATATACAGACAATTCGTTTAAAAGGGGACAGAACTTGATGTCTGTGTACACAGACAATGTACACATTTTGTGTACATCTTGTGTACACTAAGAATGATCCATTTCTAATTGCAATCCAACTTTTCTAATCCAACATGCAGTTAACGAATAAAGTCACATGAAAACCTACCAATTTGGAGACTTCTCTACTGGACCGATGGAAGGAAGCGGGTATAAACCTCTGCCGGAGTGGGATCGGAGAAGGGTAGCGCAATAGACTATTGATCGCTGAACGATGCAGACTACTGCTCACTGCTAGTCTGCTACCTCTTCCTTGGGCCCTGTAGTCGTGGAGTTGGATTTGAGATTTTCAGGTTTTGGGCCATGGTCTAACACTGCTACACATAAACATTTTTTTTAAATGAGAGTGGGCCTAGTATTTATACATACTCCGTATATACTAGTTGAAAAAATAAAAAATCCGAAGATGGGCCTTGACCTTCCCTGACCCTAGGCCCAACCCGCCCCTGCCGATAGTAGATGGAAGGGAATTGATACCGGTGATATCATAGAGTGGCGGGACGGCCGAGGTATATGTTATATTGGTTGGGTTGGTTTACATGTTGGGTTATTTCCGGGTTTCTAATGGAAAATTCTTAGTGTACATGATTTGTACACAAAAACCCCTAGTTGTCTGTATATATAGACAATTCGTTTAAAAGGAGACAGAACTTGATGTCTGTGTACACAGGCAATGTACACATTTTGTGTACATCTTGTGTACATCAAGAATGATCCATTTCTAATTGTAGTCCAATTTTTACTAAGCACAGCCTCACGTTAATTAAATAATATGATAAATTGACATACTTGCCCATTAGTTGGGAATTCATCGATTATTACATGAATCTCAAAATTCATGGTGCTTTTGTGCGAGGAAGTAGTGTAGCAACAATAGTATGGTTAATGATGTCAGACACACTGGACGAAACTTTTTCATTTCTAACTTTTAACAATGCAAAGGTAAACAACATTAGACCCAATGTTTTCTTCCTCGATTTGAAGGATATGCTCTGAGTTCCGTTTTATTCAATTAATCTTCTTGAAAATTCCGCCGAAATGAGAATAGTTGAATAGGATAGAAAAGTAATTAAATAGAATTCCTGCCTAACAAATGGGGCGTAACTAGTGGTGAGCATTCGGTCGGTCGGTCAAATAACCGACCGATAACCGAATAACCGATTATAAAATTTTAAACAAATAACCTACCGAAAACCGACCGATATATTAAAATAACCGACCGAGAAAAGATTGTTCGGTTTCGGTCAATAACCGATAACCGAACAATAACCGAAAATAATTAAACCATAGAGTAAATTCAGATTTCCTCCTTTTTCCTCACAGGAGGGCAGGGTACTCTTTCTTCATATGAAAGAGGATATCTTTGTGCTGTAATTCTACTGAATAAAATCACCATATCCAACATCAACTTAAAAATGCATACATGCATAAAAAAATCAATGAAACTATTAACTGGGTTTCAAACTTTAATACAACATTATTACCACCAAAGAAGCAAAGAGTACAGCCAAAAACACAACAAAAAATCCAAAATTCAAATGGTTAAGTTGTCAAAAATTCTTTGTTCACTACAAGAGTCTCTATGCTTTGTCCACTAGCTTGCATCAAATGTATTTATCTTCCTTCTTAACCTTTAAAAAAGATCAAAATCAACACGTCTAAATAAATAAATTAATCTAATACACTGCCAATTCAAAAAAAAAAAACAGAACAACATGAGGAAACACTTGTAATAAATACTACGTATTACTTTTGATTAGAATTATTATAACAAGTAATATCAGTACCTCAGTATACATTCAGTTTTATATGGAGTATAAAATGTTGAATATAAAGTTTTAGGTTTCTGTAAATCTGTAATGGCTAAACTAATAAAGCTACTTTGTGCATAGCAAAATAAGCAGCAGTTGCTTTCAGCAAACATTTCACAGGGAAGAACGATAAAGACGTCTTTATCATTTATGACTTCATTCCTTCTTGAGATGAATAAAAAGTAAAAACAGTATCTGTAATATCATACGAGTATTTAACATTTTTAGACCTTCTAATTATAACCACTAATTAATGCATTTCAGAGAGATCACTAAACTGAAGAAAAAAGAGAATAAGTGTTTGTTCAAGAAAGAGGGGTTTAACTAAGATATATTAGAGATTTACGCCAGTTAGATAATTATATTGGGTAGAGGTAATATGTGACTGGTGCTCTGCTACTTCACTTTGCTGGAGAGGTCTGCCATGGGAGCAATCGAAGAAATCAGTTCGGATTAGGAACTGAAGAAGAGAAATTACCTTTGGGTCTTCGTATAAGGCAAAGATTACTTTGGGCTCTTCGCTTAGCTGCTTCACCTTCTTCGCTGAAGTTTACGCAAAGGAGATAAAGAACGGAGGTTCAGGGAATAGCGATTTAGGGTGTTAGGCACTTAGGCCGTTTCAGAGCTTTGGGCCAGGGTTATAAACTTATAATTGGTTTGGGCCTATTTTAATATACCAGGACCATTTTGTTATCTTGAAGCATTATAGCCTTGTAACATCGGTTATCGGTCACCGACCGAACCGAACATTCAAAACCGCTAAATAACCGAATAACCGAATAACCGATAACTTTTTACAAATAATAACCGATAACCGATCGATAACCGAATTTTCGGTTCGGTTCGGTCATCGGTTACCGGTTATGTCGGTCTTTTCGGTTATTTGCTCACCCCTAGGCGTAACCATTGGTGCCATGGAAAAGTTGTTGCCTTGCTGGAGCCGGTGAAACATCGGTTACCTGAGAGACATTGTTGGTTTAGAACCAACAATCTAAACTTAAAAAGCACTCACTGTCTAGAGAAGAAGAGCCGCACAAACAATTAGCGGAAGGAAACCCTACGCGATGACAAAGCTGCTAAGGAGACAAAACCCTACGCGGCGCTAGGTAGAAGTTGCGCAACTACCAAAATAAATTAAAATTTAAGTTATGCAAGTGATATCATTTCATTTCTTTTTATTCTCACTTCTTTTACCCTTTCTCTTCATCTTTTTTTTGGAAAAATTGATAGTAATAATCCCAACTATTGGCGCCCCGCTCATAATAATCCCAACTATCTATTATTTCACAATAATCCCAATTTAGGGACATTCCGCCAATAATGGTCCGATGTGACCGACTATAAATAAATTCATGTAGTTTCTAAATTTTAATTTTTACGCTTAATTTCTATTTAAAATTGGAGGTAATATCTTGTCATGGACCATTATTGGCGGATGGTCCATATAGTTGGGATTATACAAAAATAATCAACTGTTGGGATTATTATTAGCGGACCGTCAATAGTTGGGATTATTATTTTCAAATTTTCCATTTTTTTCTTTCATTTTTCCTCTAATCCCCTTCTTTTTGTCCTTGGCTCTTACTTTCTTTTACCCATAGTCTATGTTGCAAGATATTTTTCCTAATTATGTAAGTTAGAAAATTCTAATTTTGTATCTCATTCCATGACCATTCTTTATTCGAGAATGTATGAGGTTGATAAATCAATGATTCCAACAAGCTGAGTCATTGTTACAGCTCATATTCAAAATAATCAAGGGAGAATTACTTAAATGGGACTAATTGGAATTTTAATTTCCAAAATAGGATCATAACTTAAAAATTCCCTAAATATGACTAGCTTTCAAATTCTACCATTTCTTTGTTTTAATACAATTCATATTTCATTAATAATTAAAATATAAAATTAAGAACATAATTTTATTTATGATAAAAATGTAAAAAAAAAATAACACGAAATAAATATTTTATAAATTTAATAAAAAAAATCAAAATAAAACATTATAAAATAAAATAAATAAAAATGAAAAAAATATTAAAAAAATATGTAGGCCTATGTTGCCACCTCTAGATCCGACCACCGGAAAAAAATGACAAAATTTGTCCGAAATGCCATCTTGATGGTAGTTTTCTGGACAATTTTTACATTTTCAAAGAGTAAAAATGTCATCTGTATGACATTTTTCAGAGAAAAAATGACAGTTTTTACACAAAATGACATTTTTTAGCCGAATAGATGTAACTTGGCTGGGCAGTAGCCGAGAATGTGGGAGAGCCCCCCATATTTTTATTTTTAAGGTGTTTTTATCTATTTATTGTAGTATTTTTTGAAAATATTTTACAATTTTTTTAATAATTTTTTACGATTTTGGTATGAATTAAATTATTGTTTATTGTTTTTTGTGTTTATTACAAATAAAATACTCCGTATGATTATGCTATTAAGTTATGGTAAGGGTATAATAGGTAGATAGGGTATACTTTAGTGAGTTTAGTAACTTAGTTTAGTCCTATTTTGGGAAGATAAGTAACATAGTCCTATTTGTGCATTTAGTGATTACTTTAGTTCTATTTAGGGCTATAATCTCAATAATCAACTTAAGGGGGTGTCCCCAAAATGGATTCTTATGGATTTGAATGGAATGTAGATTCCATCAGAATCCAGGTATCCTGTATTTGAATCCATAAGAAAATTGGTGTTGTCAAACATTCCATGAATTTCAATTATTATATATTTGGATGGATTTTAAACGATTTTGTTGGAATTGTATACACAAAACAAATTATGGGAAATCTTGTCAACAACCGTCACATTTCAAAGGATAATGTGCCGGAATAGGTCACCAGAATAGAGAGCTTTGAACACGAACGTGAAGGTCTAGGGGGTTTCCCACCCTCTGGCAAAGGTCTGGGAGGTGCGCCTAGAGGTGACGAACACCAAACCAGCCTTGAAAACATCAGATATTTGTCAAATTCCAAGAAACAACCCAAAATCAGGCGTCAATTTCTTCAATGCTCCAAACCTAGCCTCCATAGAACGTGGTTGTGGACTGTTAGTGACATTTTGAGGACACTTCCCTTAGACTAATAGCGACATCCTTCACACACACACACAATTACACAAAATAAATTTAGACTAATAGTGACATCGTTCACAAAATGCATACCCAACATGGAAACATTTCTTAACTCGTTTAAATGTCATGGTATGTTAGCCGGAACAGGCCCTAATCTTATTGTTAGGGGTGATTTTTTTTCCCATTTTGTAGTACTTTGTATAGTTTTCTATTTGAATAATTTCATTAGCCTATATAGGACATTCAAAAGTATCACCCAACAAATCTACACAATGAGAAAAATAAATTAGAGTTAACCACTAGAGAAAAATAAATTGATTCAGTATGAATTTGAAGAGACTTCAATTTTCTTTTAGTAAAATAATCGGAGAAAAAATGGCACGTGTATGCCTATTTGACTTTTTACAGACAAATTTATAACCACTATTCCATTTTCCAAAATTATGACTAAAGTCACTTGTCCTTCGCCCAAATCCATTTGCCGCAAGAGTAGTTCATCTTCCCACCTCTCCTTCGCAGCTCGCATAACATTTCCCAGCGCCACACCTTCCCGTTCTTTGCACCTTTCCAAGACTTTAAGGTTCTGTTCATCGCTACTCCGCCTCACCATCCCAAGTCCCTGTTGCGAGCGCCGTTGTTGCACCACCTTTGCGCCTCGCTGACTGGATCTACGCCTCTCTGTCCAGATCTTCGCCCGTTGTCTAGATCCCCGGTGGCGGTGAGTAAACGACAACAAGTCTTTAATTAGATGGGCGGTGGTGGTTCCGGCAATTGGGGCGGGTATGCGGCTGTAGATGTAACAGATTGTGGGCCTCGGTTTCATCTCCTTCTTTCTTGATTATAGAAATCTAGGGTTGCCGCTTGCTGGATTTGTGATGTCGCTGGCCGGATTTGTGAAAAAAGGTACTGGCAGGGCAGGGGAGCAGGGGCTGGGGGTAGGTGGGAGAGAGGGTTGGGGCTGGTGTAGGAGAGGGGCTAGGGTTGGGTTGGTGTAGGAGAGGGGTTGGGATTGGCAGCAGGCGGGTGGTGGATAGTGGTGGTTTCCAGCATGGACAACGGTAGTGGAGTTGGCGGGCAGTCTATGTGGGAGTTGGGCGGGCAATCACTATGAGCAAAATCACTATGGCGGCGGAATCGCTGTGGCGGCGGAATCGCTGTGGCGGCGATGTCACTTTGACTCGAGTCACATGTTTAGATGTGTCGTTGGTCACATTTTTGTATTTTTTTTTAAATCACACTTTTTGTCTTTTATCCTGTTTTAGTAATATCCTGTTGGTTGATTTTCATTTTATTATTACCATACCACAAGCGTTAAAGCTCGAATTCCTAAATCCATACTTCGGCAATTTGCTGAAACAATGATCATTCATCTCCTTGAAACGCCTATCTACTTGCCTCGCTAAAACCTTAGTGTGGAATGCACGAGTGCAAAATATTGAATTTTCCTCATGAGATTGTGGAGCTTATGGATTTAGTAATCAAATCTAATTAGCAGATGGTTGAAATAGCAATCACGTTGAGCCTGTGAACAATGATGACAAATCTAAAAATTAAATGATGACCGAAATTAGCTGTTACTATCCCAAGTCACATAAAGTTATATATTAACACAAGGAATTAGGATTATCACACATAACAAAGACATATTTCCTAGGTTAGGTTATATTTTTAAACACTAATGAGGGGGGAAATCCTCAAGAATGTTTTTCTCTTGCAATGAACATTTTTACCATATCTTCCCTAATGACACTCCACAAACTAGCCAGGTATCAAAGTAAAGCTTTAACAACAAATACACTGCCAATGTGATCATAAAGCAGAGTTTGACATAACTTCATAATACTCATTAGACTCCATATCAGCAGAGATTGTTACATATATCAGTTAACCCTTACTTAAAACCTTGCATCAACGACCTGAAAGGAACAATGACAACAAGATACATAATCCATACTCTTCTGTAGCATAGTGTATATTTGTTTAAAAACAAATGGAGCGTAAATGTCCAGATAGCGAGTCTAATACGAAGAGGTTGCTTAACAGTTAAAACATTCATAATAGGGATTGCATGAAATCTAAATGACATTCTTCTTTTCTCCTGAAAACATGTAACAAGCGTGGTATGGCCACTTTCAGGTTCACCCAATTCTTCAATTCACCACAATCTCAATTCTCACATGACCTATTCTTTACAATGAATAACAAATAATCACATTTGACATAAGATACAGCCTATCCAACACAACATCTTCAACCACCCTGCCCCTCCCCAAAACGATATAAAATAAAAAGGCTATTATTCAGTGGTAATTCACTACTGAATACCTGGACTGCACACACCTTCAGTCCTCTGTAAAACAGCTCTCAATGTAGTCCGTCCAACACGACTTATCCCGGTAGGTCCGTCTAAACCTCTGTATGCGTGGCTTTGCCTTTAGAAGGTGGCATTATCACACAATAACCATGGATTCATTAATATCGTAATACTCTGTAACAATTAACTGGATGAAACAATCTCCTTCCCATGATCTTCATCCTCGCAAACATGTCTCTTCAACCTTCTTAGCCATATCGCATAGTCTAACGGGTACGGGGTCCCACACAGACTATCAACGTAATCCGCAAACGCTTTCAAAACAGCAGATATATCCCCTAGCCTCTGCTGTATCTGCCTCTTTGACCAGACCGTTTCCCTCCATTGCAATGCCCCCTCAACCGAATCCAACTCCGGCATATCTCCACTGCCGGAAGCAGAGAAATAGAGCATGTACACAAGGCTCTCAGCATCTGAAGCCGAGCACAGTTTTCCCTCCTGAAGAGCATAAGTGGAAGAGAAGTGTAGGTTCATTGTGGGACGGTCCCTCTCTTCGAGAATCGCGTGTCCCCATCCAATAAGGACAAAGTGGGGATTCCTCATGCCTGAGGTCACATAGATGACGTTCTCTGGCCGGATATCTCCGTGCCATATTCCAGCAGACAGGGCCGACGAGAGGGCGGTGAGACAGTCATGGCAACACCTGATCGCCTCGTCTATCCCAAACTGCCCGTCTCTGACCATATCTGCGACCGTTTTTCCGACCGGACTCGTTATGAGAACATGGGTCCCACACCAAACGTACTCGCAGTTACTAGGTCTCCGGCACTTTCCGGGATGAACTATGCGGCCAGATGCACTCAGCTGAGGCAGATATTTGCAGGACAGTCCCTTTTGTTTCATAACAGACAGCACTTTAGTCTGCCTTTGGACTTGATACCACAGTTTCATATCTTCCCATGCCGGTTCCAGATGAGAAGGATGGGACCCAACGTAAAGAAATAAAGATTTCAACGGACAATCGACAGGAGAAGCAATATAATACATCATATCCCCGTCACTCCACATATCGTTGATCCGGTATCCTTTCTGTAAGTTTGTATCCTCTATCAACAGGACAGAACCTACTTCCAGCATCATTATTGGCTTATTATTGTTTTCACTATTTAGCTCCAGCCTTACAGGTTCTTCTTCTTGTACTTCTACAATTTCTGGCGAAGCAGTATGTTGCTGGAGCCGGAATATACCGTTTCTGTCCACACTGTTATTATTGCTGCCCAAGTGCCTCTCAACCTGTCTTGATTGAAGGCGAGAACTATGGTCAGCCGCTAAATCTTCAACAGAATTCTTTGGCGTTCCAGCATATTGCGTGATCGCATGGAATGTGGCAAAGAGCGACTGTAAAGCACCAATGTCCCCCCAGTTGGCATTTCCAAGCTTGTTCCATATCCTATCAATAGGTGAAATTGAAACCATAGCGTGGTTTTTGACCCACTCAGTGGCACATCTGTAAACGTCATGGCCCATTTCCAGCTTTCTCACGTCACCTTCGATTCTCATCACCCCGCCATATTGAGAATCGACCAGGAGGACAAAAACAGAACTTAGGCTGAGGGGAATGTTGGATTTACTTACGTTTCTTGAAACCAACACGCGTATGGCAAAAAACAAAGCTTCGCTGATAATGGAGAGAGAAGGCTTATTAGCTGACGTGGCAAGGCCACCCATATCGGGTCGGAGAATTGCTAATTCAAGAATATCATCCCACTTCCCCAGTGGGTGCCTAGGGTTCTTAAGAACTATTGCCGTAGCACAAAGACCATTGAGCTTGTTTTTAGAAATTGCCTTCTCAGCTTGATAGAATCTGAAATTTGTGTTGTGAACACAAGAAACGTAGAAAGGAAAGGGTTCATCATGACCCCAGAATGCCTCCCATAAGCCCTTCACACTTGCGTGGAGAAAGTCCTCTAAAGCAAGGTAAGCAGTGGCTTCAAAGGCATTAGATGTTGAGGCATAAACAGCACTGGGCATCCGAACCAGTTGCTGAAAGGGGATTCCTTCCAATGCGTAATCAAACTGTTGGAGATCTATCAACTCAAATGGCGTGTCAAAAGGCTGTGCTGCATTTTCTGTAATTTCCTTAAACCATGGGGTTAGGTTTGTTGTGAGTACATCACTGTCAGAAAATCTACGGAGAAACTCTTTGCTTTCTTGAACCCTACCACTTGATGAAGACACAGTGGATAATTTTGCCACAGATTCCCACGACTCTCGATCAGGGGACCTGCCTGTAACATTTAGTCAAAATGTCTTAACAACAGCATCATCAAACTTGCAAGAATTTTCAGATTACAAATAGCTAATACACACTTTAGCCCCTCATACATTATTATTCAATTCGCTCCTCAATTTTTTGGACTCAGTCCTTGACAATTCAATTTGGAAGTAATTTAATCCCCATAGATTTTTTGCTCCAGGAGAGTAGGGTCTTTTTGTCCTCATCAGAACAAATACCCTTATTTAGAGCAAGATAGATCAAAGGACTGAATAAGATACAGATTGAGTAATAGTGTATATCCAATGGGCCAAATCCATTTTAAGAGATATGGTGGCATACAACCTCAACAAAAACCATTTTTAATGCATCAGAATGGTAAGTGAGAAGACAACTAACACAGTTACACCCTAAAAGAGATCAACCATTACATGCTATCACAATACTTGACACTTCCCTTCACCTCTACAACATTTTACACTTCACAGTTCAAACATCACACTCACACCTGGAAGGGAAAATAAAGTTATACAACACCAATGCTTGTTGACACTAGCTACGATATAGAAATATAAAGTAGTTACAAATTTACAATTGCAATAATGAGTTGGGAATATTTTAGTTGCACCCACTTCCCACTATTATTTACCATGGAAATTTGTACCCTATTTTGAAATCATTTGAACGTGCACCTCCACACCCCAAAAGTGGGCTATTTATCATAGACATTGCACCCCTTGATTAGATTTAAATCATGTATTATATAAGACACGGGGTTCCGTCCTAAAAGGTCAACCTGATAGGAGGAGTAGCTCATGTGTTAATATAGCATTTAGTTCATCCAAACTTTTCCGGTGTGGGACATTTAACACCCCTCCTCACGACCAGACACTTCGTCTGGATCGTGCCATCATTCATTTTTTTCATCGGTCCGTTTTTTTTTATCCGGCCGTAATTGCCTTTTTTATAATCATTTTCATAAGGGGCCCCACACCATGGATCGATTTGGCTCTGATACCATGTTAAAACACGTGGTTCCGTCCTAAAAGGTCAAACTGATAGGAGGAGTAGCTTATGTGTTAATATAGCATTTAGTTCATCCAAACTTTTCCGGTGTGGGACATTTAACAATTTTAAAATGAAATGCAAAGTCCACCCGGAGTGCACTCAAACTTTTGTCATTCAATAAAATTTACGAAATGGACTTCTTCCCTGAATTTAAAGAAATTAGCACGCATGTTACATCAAGATCTGAATCAGAAGATTTTATAATTTTCTAACTTTGAGAAAAAGTTAAACTTTGTTTGAAAAATCAAATCATTTTCCCAACTTAGGGTTGTCAAGGATTAAAAGTATAACAAGGTGGAAAACTTCAAGAAAAAAACACAGTTCCTTCACTTCCTTGTTTACTCTCAAAGTAAATCAAAATATCAAATTCATATCAATCAAAAGAAACAATTGTATAGTTTTTTTTCAAAAATATATTCTTTTTTTATCACATTAGTGCAAATTAGCATGAAGGGAATCATAATATCTTTCATTAAAAAAATGATTTTCTTTTGCTACAGCAGACGATGGTTTAGGAACATAAATACTCAATAAGTGCAAGTATTAAATTGACCAAAAATGTAATTTCATTGGATAAAAAAAATAAATAGAAATAAATATACTAAATAAGCCTCCAAACTAAGGCTTCCCGTCCTTTCAAAAAAAAACTAAGGCTTCCCATCTTCATATCCCCTCTGTAGTACTTAAGCTCAGATTTCTCATTATTCGA